CTCTTTCCCACCCCACTTTTCCCAAGAACTAAAATGTTCAAACAAAAGTCCAAATCATCTAGACAATTTTCTTCAAGCTTCTTTGCAGCTGCTTTTGCTGATTTAATGACAAATTCCTGATTCAAGCGCCTTTCAATACCTGCAACCAACCTGCATAGAACTTTTGAAACCAAGGAATCTTCAAGAGATAAATTTACTCGCTGGACAAGCCTCAAGAATTTCACACTTACGACCAGTATCTTCTGTATTTTTTCCTTTTCTTTCTCAGTTATGTTGCATTGGAGACCAGCTTGAACATCGTAATATGGAAAGGAACCGAAACTAGCTGCATCCTTGAGAAAGATAACATTGTCATTGGATTCATCAGCAGAGGTGAATGTAGTTGTGCTGCCATCTGATTCAGCATCACTATCAGCATAAACGAATTGGCTTTTTGCATCATTCCTTGGTAAGTTCATTGTTCCATGTGAACTCCTGATGGCCCGTTTTTCTTGAGACTCCTTTCCAGAACCTTTTGAACCCAGAAGAATAGAGAGAGCTGAAATTTGTTCCCTGAACTGCTCAAGGGCAACTGACATCAACCCTTCCACATCTCCGTCTGAAGCATAAACTTCTCTATCTGATTCTTGACATGCCGAGTTTAACTCAACAGTAGCCTCTTCTTTTGCAGTATATCCCAGTTCAAGTGTTTCCACATTTTCATGCAAAAGGTAATCACAAAATAGCTCATCTTCTTGACTAACACCTAAAATGGTTTTACACAAATCCTTTTCCACATAACATTCTTCAAGAAATGCGGGGTCAAGAAGTTCACAAGACTCAACACAATGAATTTTGTTAGTTTCATAAGCATCATCATTGGATTGAAAACCAGCAGAAGAATCATGCAATTCAGCATTTGAGTTTACCAGAGACCTAGGTATACTTACCAGACTCTCGCACTCATTTTCTTGATAAGAAACAACTCCTGGACTTCCATCAGCTTCAGCGGGTCGTGTTGCTGTACTATACTCGACATTTTCAGCACAGGCTTCAGATACAGGTTCACCTGCCATGCAATGTACATGAGAGTCGTGTTCTTGTAGATCATTAAAACTCGTATTCTGTGCCTGCGTTATGCAGTTACTATAATCTTCAACACTGGACTCCAGCAAGCCCATAATCGTAGTTCCTTCCACCAACTTCCCTTGCATTGTGGCATCACTATGACCCTCAACCAACTTCACATTCTCCAATTCATTCAATACCAGTCTTCCCATGCCAAATCCCTCGTCTTGTGAATGCTGAGACATGAAGAAATCTGAATCTGTCGCACTAGAGTATTCATTATAAGCAACCCTAATTCCAATAACTTGGTCCTGGTCCAGACCATGCTCATCAGCCTCCAATTCCTCGTCACTACCACTGAAAAAGGCGAAATTATTTTCAAGCAATGATTGACTAACGGGTAACGAGTTCATAAAAATGGAACTGTCGTGATTTTCTTCTTCCGCGTCCAGCATCTTAATTCTGGGTCCACCAACAACGTTTCCCGGCACTCTCGCAACACTCAACATTTCCCCTTTTCCTTCTTCTTCTTCTTCAGTGTCATCTTCATCATCGTTAAAGGTAGACAATTGAGCAAAGGGCGTAACCCGCAAAGGTGCAGCATGCATGGGAGATAGTTGCACACACTCGTCAACTTCAAAACTCCCTTCTCCTTCTCCTTCTCCTTCCTCTTCTTGAGAGGTGTAACCGGATTGAGAAAGAGTGGCATTACTTGAAACATCGAATTCGGAATCATCTACTTCCAGGGTAAGAGGTGCTCGGATTTGAGGAACAGACACGAACGAGTCTGAAGCCATATCCGCACACAAATTTCAAAATTGGGAACTCCGCAACCTATCCTTTCGATAATATTTAAATGAAAAAAAGAGTTGGGCCAAAACTAAACGGCGCTGGTTAAGTTGGGCCAAAAAGCCCAAGCCCAGGCTCAGGCCCAGGACCAATGATCATGGTGAATTCTTCCATTCGCAGCTCCTTCTTCTCATGTTTCTTATGAAGGAAACTAACCTAAGCAACAAGTATCCTCACTGATTCGTAACAGAGGTTCAATTTTCCTCGCTCCGATGGCGAGTGCGCGTTACTCTCCGTTCTCTCTCCTCACGCCTCACGCTAACGGACCAACCCCTCCTCGCATTCCACTTTCTTCAAAACGGCACAGGAAAAACCATTTGCGGCCCAAAATTCTGAAAACCCTAACTAAACCCTATCCACCCACTCTTCCTCTTCTACCGTCACCGCCACAACAGCCTGTAATCTCCCCTCAGGAAAACAACAACCTCTACGTCGAGATTGCCGCCGGCGAGACACTTGCCGGAGACATTGTGGATAATTTGGGAGAGGTACAAGTCTCCGAGGCCACCACAATCGCGGATAATTTTGAAGAGTTACAAGTCTCCGACGCCACCGCGAAGGAAAATGGTGTGTTTGAGAATGTTTCCGCGGTAGATATATTCAAATACGGTGGTATGTATTTTCTTGGGTTTTTTGTGTTGCAGACGGTTTACACTGTTTGGGTCGCGGGAAATTACAATTCCACCCAGAAAGATGGGGATTTGGAGGTCGATGGAAGGGACAACGAGAATGGGAAAACTGTGTCATTGCCGGTTAATGGTGCTAGCAATGTTTTTGGTGTGGAGGACCAACTTGACATGGAGAAGAAAATTGAAGAAATTAGGTTAATGGCGAGGGAAGCACGGAGAATTGAGTTGGAGAAGAAAGGGAAAGAGGAA